TGGGAGGTGCATTCTCAGTCTGGATTGTGTTTACACAGGTCGGGAAGGGACTTCCTGAGTCATCGAGTGCAGTCCCCTGCTACCACAGGCCATCACAGAATCAAACGGGTTTCCAGGTAGAGGCATTCGCACTGGTCTGTGCAAGCGTCTGTTGTGTGTGCACAGGATGGTGGGGATGTTGTGCAGGAGGGTGCATTCGTTGTGTGCGTGAGGGCTTCTTTGTGTCGGTGCACCAGCCTTAATCTAGGTAATCCAGGGTATCTCGATATACGTAACTCGCACTGAAAACTACCGCTGCAAACCACACTGCTGCCGTAACATGCTTGAACAAACCTCTTTGCGCTTTTCATCTTCCCTGCTATTCCCTCAGGCATAGGCTTCCCCTTCCCTTGCGCTCGGGAGTTATCTGATTCGGGAAACTCAACTCAAAACCTTTTTGAAGTCGTCCCCCTCACCAACTTTGTGCCAAGAACTCTGGGGATTTTTTCTCTCCCCCCCTGAGCGGACAAGTCGCAAATCGCTCCGGTCGCTTTGTTTGAAGTTGCAGACACAACTGTCTGGCTCCCTGCACCCACTCGGCTTATGGAGCTCCATTTCCAATTATTTAGGAATCGTCAGAAAGAGAGAAATCCCCTCCCCCCTTGGCATCCACCTCGCTGCTTACAGGGGGAGGCAAATGTGGCAGCGGGGGCCCTGTTTTCCTATCCGAAGAGGTTAAGCCATTGGAATAGTCAGGAAAGAAGCAATCAAAGTCCCAGAGCGGATTGGGATACTAAGGATTCAACTGCTCCGGAGAGGAGCGCAGTATGGGACTTCCCCACAACCGTGATCCCAGTGCCTGTGTCCCAAAGATCTCTCTGCCATCCACTCCTCCTCAAGGGACACCTGGGCGGCAGTCCCTTTCATGGCTCATCCAGCCCTTTCTGAACACCTGTATGCTAGCCGCATAACCCCCCAACACACGCACATGGTTCCTGTCTCCTGCTGGGTAGCAGGAAATGTATCCCTGGTAGGAGCACAGAGATGGCCAGACTGTGTCAATCCCTCTAGTACAGGATCTCGTCTCTGACAGCAGTAAGTATCAGATGCTCCAGAGAAAGTGCAAGAAACACTGATGTGAGCAGTTCCAGGAAAACCTGCCTGGGATAGTTTCTTCCTGTCTCCCAGTAGTCCGAGACTGGCTTCTCGCTGACGCAGGAAGCTTTAGACCACTTGTTCGTTTTAACCCTTATCTATATCCTTCTCTGAATCCTCAGTTCTTGGCCTCAATGATAACTTGTGGCAATGAGTTCCACAGCCTAGCCATGCAGTATACTGAATCGTACATGTTAAAGCTGGAAAAACCCTACTGGGCTCCATATAGCCCAGCCCCTCTCCTCACCCCAGGAAACAAGGCAAGACTGTTCCATACAATCCTTCTCCAGGGCCTGGTCCAGTCTAGTCCTAGGTAGCCCAAGTGATGGGACTCCCAGCCCTTCCATGGGGAGACGATTCCCCTGCCAGAGAGATCCCACTGCCAGGAAGCTGGCAAACGGGACAGTAGCTCTCATACCTCCACAGTGGGTGAGCCCGTACAGCGTGTAGCCCTTGTGACACAGGCACTGGAAGCTCCCCGGGGTGTTGACACACACGTGGTCACAGGTCCTGTCGAAGGAGCACTCGTCAATATCTGGGAGGAAGAGGGAAAGGCAGAGAGCGTGAGGCGAGGCCCGGCCCAGCCAGGGGGTGGGCTCCACAGGGGTCTCGAGCCCCGGGGCTTGGCTGGCTTCTCAAGGGTTCGATTCCTTCCCCACCCACCTCCAGCGTCACCCAGAAAGACTGAACTGAATACTCCTGCCGTTCACAGCTCTCTCCCACTGTGCCAGAGGGGTTGTCCAAGTCCAAAGCCCTGCAGAGAAGCAGCCAGCCGGGAACGGAGTCTATACCAACATCTGCTCCTTTACCCTGCATAGGACAGGGGGGTGGGGGCACCCCAGAACACACCCCCTTCCCAGTCCCACTGCCACGCTGAGCCTCCCTAGGCCTATGCAACGCTGTGCCCCTGGGCGGGTTATTCGCAATGAACCTGGGACCTCTCACCAGGAGCCTCTATGGCTGGAGCTAAAAGACCTGTATGTGTTAGCAAAGGATGTACCAGGGTCATCAAACTCCACCTGCGGCCCAGCCAGCACTAGAGGGCGACAGAGCTCCACAGTGGGTGGATTATGCCTCTCCGCCCCCCCAAGCCCAGCCTTTACCCTGCTGCAGAGATGCTTTGCAAGACAAAGGGCTTGGCTACACTGGCGCTTTACAGCGCTGCAACTTTCTCGCTCAGGGGTGTGAAAAAACACCCCCCTGAGCGCAGCAAGTTACAGCGCTGTAAAGCGCCAGTGTAAACAGTGCCCCAGCCGTGGGAGCCGTGCTCCCAGCGCTGTAAGCTAATCCCCTCCGGGAGGTGGAGTACCTGCAGCGCTGGGAGAGCTCTCTCCCAGTGCTGGCACCACGACCACACTCGCACTTCAAAGCGCTGCTGCAGGAGCGCTCCCGCGGCAGTGCTTTGAAGTTTTGAGTGTAGCCACAGCCAAAGGGTTAAATCCCAAGGTGCCAGCCTGGAATGGAAAGTCCCCCATGGGGTGGGGGGGAAACAGCTGCAAGCTCCCCAATGCCATGGATCCAGGGACATGTTCTGATCCGGCTCACCCTCCCCCTCCTCTGCCCCAAATGGAAACCAAAGCTGCGATCCCCTGGCAGAGCCCCCTCCAAGGAAAGTGCCAGCGTCACCCACTCTGCCCTGCGGGGGGCTTCACTGTGGGAGGGCGGCACAGTCTGCGGGGGCGAACCTGGCCGGCCAGGTTTATTTTTATTTCATTGGCTTTGTTAATTTAATTGCCACGATCAGATCAAACTTCCAAGAATGCAGAACCTGGGTGGAGATGAAAGAGGTGCCAGCCAAAGGCACACCAATCCCCCACCGCCAACTCCCCAGGGCCTGGCCCCGTGCATTCAGCAGGTAACACCTGTACTCTGTCACACCCCAGCGACTCACGGCTTCAGACACTCACTCAGCGATGAAGGGCCCAAGTGCTGATTCAGGGAAGGCCTGGGAACCTTGGCATTGGTGGGGAGGGGAGGCGCATATACTGGCCCCCCTGCATACTTCAGCTCAAGGCTGGTCTCGTTCACAAGTGAGATGAGTTGGGTGGCCTGAGACGGATAATACTTTGCATGCCCATGGGGCCTTTCATAAGAAGATCACAAAGCATGACTCTCTTCCACCCAGGGAGAGAGGTAAAGGTTATTCCATTTTACAGATGGGTCTACTGAGTCAGAGAGAGGTGAGCCCATGGCAGAGCTGGAAACAGAGAACCCAGGAGTCCTGGCTCTCCGTCCCCTGCTCTAACCAGTAGTCAACACACTGCCTCCCTTCTCTGCTCCAGGCAGATCAAGTTGCATGAGCATGGAGGAAGCTGAAAGCAGTGGTAGGATAGAAGAGTTCTGTTAGGGACTGAGGGTTTGACCCCTCCGTGCCCACCCAGCCAGTCCCTGCCTTACCTCTATGGTCCACGGTGAAAACAAATGTGGTTGATTACAAACCACAGCACAATCCCAGACAGTGCATGCCATAACCCCACCCCTGTTCATTCCAACCAGCTGGGCCACTTGGCGAAGGGCAATTCCCAGGGAAGAGGGCTGGAGGGGATGGGCCAGGCTGTTTATTCCCATTAAGGTTCTTGAGAGTCCTGGCTGCCTCTGAAGAGAACAGATCTCGGAAAAAGAAAATGGCTGGCGTGTGTGAATGTGCACATGTGTGTGTCGTAGCCAATGAGATGTCAACCCATCCCCTGGATCCCCTGCAAAAGTCTTGTGCAATAAACAACTGCTGTGGTCTGTAAAAACAGTGACGTGTCTGAGTGTGTTAACGCGCAAATGAGGCTGCACGCATTCGCTTAGGTTCAGAGGGCATCCCGTGCCCGATGTCGTCAGATCCCCGGAGTTTAGCATGCGTGTGCGTGCGGCCATGCATCTAGCTGTTACATAGATACACACATTCCGCAGAAAGACATGCCAAGGTGTGATAACACTGAACGCCCGCAGCTTTCGTGTGTTGGTTGTAAGCTGTGGTCTCTGAGATGTTATCTGGCACGCCCGGTGAGGTTGTTAGTTGATTCATAGGCCAGAAGAGATCATTACGATCACCTCGTCTGACTTCCCACGTAGCACCAGCCAAAGAACCTCACCCAACGATTCCTGCAGCCATCCCCTTGGTGGCTTGACGATCCGAGTAACCCGCTGACTGTGGACAGAGCCACGCCTGGAATTTCAGCCCAGTTTCGCAGACTCAAGAGACGAGCCCAGACTAGAGCCCAAAATCCAAACACCTCTGAAGTGTGAAGAGGTTTGGATCAGGAACCTGCTTTCACTGCTGGGCCCCTGAGTCTCTCTCATGGCCTCAGGCCTGGGAGAAGTCTAGGAGCTGAACTTTGAGGGCCTGGGGCCAGATTTTTAAGTACTCAGAACCCACAATTGGGGCCAGATTTTCAAAAGTGCCCAGCCTCTGGCTGCTCTCACTAAGAATAATGGAGAACCCCGCCATGCACACCCACGCTGAGAACAATGGAGAACCCCCTCCCCGATGTGCTCACACCCACACTGAGAACAATGGAGAACCCCCTCCCCCACGCACTCACACCCACACTGAGAACAATGGAGAACCCCCTCCCCCAGGCCCACACACGCACTGAGAACAATGGGAAACCCTGTCCCCCTATGCCCACACATGCACTGAGAACAATGGAGAACCCCCTCCCCCACGCACACACACGCACTGAGAACAATGGAGAACCCCCTCCCCCATGCCCATACATGCACTGAGAACAATAGGGATCCCCCCTCCCCCACACGCTCCCACTGAGAACAATACTGAGCGGCTGAACAACCCTGGCCACCTCTGCTTTGCAGACATGGGATATTTTTGATGCTAAGACAAAGTCCTTTGTACCTGAAAAGCCAAGAGTGCTCGGGGGGTGACGCTGTGAGCACAGTATGCGTTAGCCATCAGAAGTGCCCCTGTGGCTAATTCCTCACTGGGAGGCGCACAGCACCCCTCCACAACTCCATTCGACACTGCGTCGCTCCCAGGGGACTGGGACCAGCTATCAGCCCTGGAGCCCCTCCACGGGACGTAGAACCCAGTTGCGCTACAAGGCCTGCGCGGCGCTCACCTTGGCAGGTCCTTTCGTTGATCAACAGCTTGTAGCCTTTCTTACAGCTGCACTCGAAGCTGCCCACCGTGTTCCTGCAGATGTGGTCGCAGCCACCATTGTTCAGCCGGCACTCGTCAATATCTGTGGCGGGGAGACACAAAACATTCCATTACACAGACCGACTGGATCCGGCGACACAAGCAAGGGGGGTGCGGTTAGAGGCGAAGGAACCAGCTGCCCAAGAAAAGAAAGGACTGCCCGGTGGTTAGGGCACTAGCCCTGCAATCAGGAGACCCGAGTTCAAGTCTGTGCTCCAACGCCCTGTGTGATATCCCTTGTCTCTCGGTGCCTCGGTTCCCCATCAGAACGCTAGGGAGAACAGCGCTGGCTTCTCAGGCGGGGTATTGGCTGGCTCAATGTGGCACAGATTGTGAGATACTCTGATAGTATAGTATAGTTATGAGAGCTGCCATCTAAGTGCCTCAGCTAGATGGATATTAAAGTCCAGGGGAGTTTTGCTATTGATTTTAACGGGAGAAGGACTGGGGCCTTTGATGAGTACGGCTACCTGTGATGGGACAGGATGATACAATACAGTCAGAGGCCAGGAGGGAATCAAGACACCTGGGCTTTATTCCCAGCTCTGCATCCTTGGGTGAATCGCTGCATCTCAGTTTCCCCATCTGTCCAATGGGATTAGACTACGCACCCAGCTCACAGGGGCGGAAGGAGGATGAATGAATATCTGCAAAATGCTTGGATGTCCTTGGTGGAAAGCATCCGTTCTGACACAGATACAAAGATACTGCACAGTCGCTACTGGCAAGTGGGGCTGAGGGCTCTTGGGGAACGCGTGCGTTAGCAATAGAGAGACTGGCAGAAAACAAGAAGGGGAAAAATCACCCTCAGAAGAACAGGAGTTAGACAAAATAAGCACGCAGGTTTCTAAAACCTCCCGACTTTTAGGCAACAAGCGACACTCCTGGTCTACACTACGACTTTAATTCGGATTTATCAGCTTTAATTCGAATTTACCCTGCAACCGTCCACACAACGACGCTATTTATTTCGATGTAAAGGGCCCTTTAAATCGATTTCTGTACTCCACCCCGACGAGCGGAGTAGCGCCAAAATCGATTTCAACATTTCGAATTAGGGATAGTGTGGCCGCAATTCGATGGTATTGGCCTCCGGGAGCTATCCCACAGTGCATCATTGTGACCGCTCTGGACAGCGATCTAAACTCGGATGCACTGGGCAGGTAAGCAAGAAAAGCCCCGCAAACATTTGAATTTCATTTCCTGTTTGCCCAGCGTGGA